AGCTAACGAGTCATCAGATGAGTTCATACTGGCTCGTGAAACGGTAGTCCGTTTTGTGCAAGACTCCATCGCCGAAGCGGTGGATAAGCAAAAAGCAAAACGCTGACAAGAATGGAAGGGCAAACACTCTTTTATTTAATAAAGGTGACTTAGTCCTACTGTCTACGGTTAATCTACCAAAGCATGTAGTGACTAACTTGGGTAGCAGTAAACTACTACCCAAGTACATTGGCCCATTTCGTGTATTGCACCGCCTAGGCAATGCATACACGATCGAGTTACCACGTAAGATGCGAACGCATCCCACGTTTTACGTTGGTCGGCTTAAGCCGTACCATCAGTACGCTGCTTCTTCCGATGAAGAACGCCCTTGCGCTCAAGCATCTCGCAGAGAGCCTTGTGCTCCCGATGGTGGGCATCAACAAGGGTCTGAAGAGCAGTTATCTCAGCCCGAGACCGATCAACAATCCCACGAGCTACCCTTAGCTCGTCACGAAGAGATGTCAGAGATCTCTCGTTCTCAAGCTGAGCAAAGGCAAACTCAGCTCGATGCTTCGAGGCAGTGTCCACCATCTGGAGACGCCTATTCCGCTCATGCTCGAGATCGTCGCGTAACCCTTGCGTTACGCGATCAAAGAAGCTCTCGGGAACACACCGATCCACATGATCGTGTGGAGAGCGTCTTTCCTCCTCCTCCACCTCCATTAGAGGACTCTCGCGGTGGCCAGCGCTATCTAGTTGAGCAGCTGTTGAACCACCGCGACGTGAACGGACGTCGGACGAGTTACCTCGTCCGGTGGCGCGGCTATCCCCCGTCCTGGGATTCTTGGGAGCCCCGCTCCCAATTGATGGTTGACGTACTGGGTCTGGTCGAGCAGTACGACGCGACACATCCTGTGCCGCAGAAGGACCGCCGGAGAAAGTCTTCCCGGCACGGTCGTAAAGGGATTTCAGGTTGTCAATCCCTTCGTACATCTCAGTAGAGACACGTACGCGCCACCACGGGCTGGTAAGGAGGTAAGCCTCCTCAGGTGCTCGTGCAGAGTTGTTCACACAACATGGGCACGAGTCTCCCCAAGAGAGGCAGGGTAATCCTTTCTCCCTTGACAGACGATGCAGCTTGTAGCGTGCACCTGTCGGGGTTCGCTTTTCAAACTTATCACGAGCTTTGATAAGTTTGTCGTTCCAAGCGTCACGACCTACATCCTCGAGATTATGGATGTAGGCGTTCCACGCCTGAAGTAGTGAGGGACCATCACGTTTGTGATTCCCACTGTACCATCGATGTCTGAAATAAGCATCGATGAAGAACTCATGTTCAGCGCGATAGTCTTTCGCGCTGGGGTCAAGGTGATGGATCCTTGACGAATCGAACAATCGTGTTCGATAACGATCACTCGTCGTCGCCGACAAGTGATCCATGACTGATTTTGGAGGCATCCATGCCTTCTTTTCTGGAGCGAGACGCAACACATTGCGGCCCCGCTCTTCCTGCGACGTGCCGACAGAAGTACTGGCACCTCGCTGTGAAGTGGTGTCCATTGGAGAACCGACACCACTATTAGCGCCCGAGTCTCGCGACCTCGAGCGCCTTCGCTTCGGCGATGGTTCATCTGACTCATCAGATGAACCAAAGATGCTGCGACGCAAAGCATCGTCCATGCCACGCTTGGCAGGCGGCTTGGATTCAATTGCCGTCGATACGGATCCGTCATCCGTATCAGGAGAGTACGAGACACCGAGCTCGTACTCTGTGAAGACACGAGTGTCTTCATGACCAGCGCCTGCATCACCAGGTGATACAGGCTGAGTCGATTCAGCAACCGATGGGACATCAGTTGCTGTAGTTTCTGCTTCGGCGTCCGCACAGAGACGTGCAGACGCGCTCTCGGCGGCCTTGCTCGCGCATCGCATGGGCTTGTTTACCATGCGATGAAATGTTGGAAAGTGGACGCGGACCAACAAGTGCAAACCCTGTCCCAAATGATTTGGGACGAGTATCCATTTAGTCAATCAGTCACTAAAGTGACTGATGGTTAAGGGGGGGGGTGATGTAACGGGGTGAATCGTTACATAACAATTTATAAGAAATTGTTAATCGAATATAACTATAAGAGTTACATTCTCAGAATATTGTCATAAGGACAAATATTCTGTAGCGCTTACAAGTAGTTCCTAATTGGTTGATATAGGTCATTATATCAACCAACGAAGACGCGCCACGACAGACGCACGCAATGAGTGGTGAGCAGATAACTGATTTACACATTTGTATTTAGACATAGTTAGATGAAGATAAATAGTGATTTATTGCAGACATTAACTATTATAAATACAGTTCTACTTTTTACTCTAACCGAGTACTCGCTTCTTCTTACCGTCTTCCTCTGCACGTACGAGTGTACGTGAAGTTACGAGGCACCGCCTTATTCTGTCATCAGAATAAGTAGCTTGTACTGTCACCAGTACAAGCTTCAGGGTGCCCCGTTACAATGGAGGTAGAGCGTGATGACAAGTCGGACGATGTCTCGATGCGGCAGACCAAGTTTCTGTAGTAGGTCCTTACCATGTTTGTTATGAAAGACTGCAAGCCTGTAAAAACGCCGCAGTACCCGGTCCCAAGCTAACAAAAAACATGTGCGGCGGTGGATGCATTTGCGACAAAACCATGAAAGGTGTGCCGACTATCTGATGAAAGGTTTGTACAGAGTAGAAAACTCATGCGACTATACAACGAGTACTGCGCCTAGTGTCAATTTCTGTTGTATAGTCAAAGAATCCATTAGGCTTAGTAGCAAGAAGAAGTTGCGAGCAAAACACCTAAATATATTTACCTTTGCATTTAGCATTCACCTCGACAAGCGCCTTTACAGCAGCACGTGGATCGACTAAAACATCATTTTGCGATTGTTTAAACTTCAAAGCGACTGCGTAAGTGCAATTAGGGGTCAAAGCACGACGAAATCGTCTGCGATCGTCGTACATTTGATATCAGCTAGTGTGCGCGATCTCGATCAAAATAACGGGATACGCCAGCGGTAAACGCCAGCAGTAGTGCGTCATATTTCGATGTAGGGCAGCACAGCTGCAATTCGTGGCTCATCTAATCAACCATTTATTGTCTGTCACGACCAAAAAGGATGTAATGCTACTCCTCCTCATTGCGCAACTAAGCGGCGAAGCCCATTTGCACACAGACTAATTCATAATCGGGACTTCATGAATTGTCGAAGTGTGCAATTCGGTACATGTAGATTTCAACGCCCTTTTTTGTAGCTCATATGCAGACGCCTCATCCCCTTTCGAACGTATTCATAAGCTCAGTTTTACTAGTTGTTGTGGTAACTTGTGCTAAGAAACTACAGTACATCGTGCGTGGCGCCCTTACCTACATTTCGTCAGCTGTGTTGAAATTATGTATTTTCTACCATGACATATGTATTAAAAATGGAGCAAATCTCAATATCAGGACCACAAACGTCCAAAAGTCCCAAAACCAGGACTATAGTTTAAACAAGGTTAAATTTATCTTTTTTATACTTGGGTTGAGTATGCAAACTAGCATAGTGTTAGCCACATTATACTCAACTGCAACATGGGATAAGAAACTGCCTGATCACTAATGAGTCTATCCATTTTTTAGACAACTGTCGCGAATGGTCAAAAAACGCTCTTTTTTACCAACGTTCGTTTACTTCTCAATTTGCGCCCACGAGCCGATGTGCCCATTTTGGTTTGGGCACATTGCGTGCGAGCCAGGGCCCGGTCGCACGCACCCGACGAGCTCGTGACTGGTAATCTCCGTTATTGTATTAACTCTCATGAGCAGCGGTAGCATGGTATTATGCTGTCGATGTCGACTTTGCTGTCTAACGATCGTATGCTTTGTCTGTATGTATGTGTTGCAGTGCGTTTCAAGTGATGTCGAGTGATATCAAGTGATGTCGAGTAATGTCCAGTGATGTAAAGTGGCGTCCCGTGATATAGAGCGGCGTAGAGCGGTTTCAGGTATTGTCGAGTGTCCATCTTAACGATTGTGTGCTATGTCCGTGTGGATATGTTGCAGTGCCAGGAGTTTGTTTGACTGACTAGGGCGTAATATAAAGACAAGTGTAATACAAGCGTTATGTATATATATAGAAATTAGTACTGGTCTTAAAAGCAATTATCATTAAAAAAAATTGCTCACTACCTCATACTGTATATTTTAAATGGTTAGTTTCAGCGTTTAAGCGTAAGCGCAAGAAGTGGACTGAAAGAAGTCTTTGAGATGTCTCGAGTGACTGCAGCAATCGAAATTAACACTAATCACGGTACCACTGACCTGACCTATAGTAAAACCTTTCGAACTGGCGTTGCTGCAACCGCGTACATAAAGAATTACTATTTTTATCAAAATCGACAGTGCAAGGTGTAATAACTGAGTCACCCGGTCACGAGCTCGTCGGGTGCATGCGACCGGGCCCTGGCTCGCACGCAATGTGCCCAAACCAAAATGGGCACATCGGCTCGTGGGCGCAAATTGAGAAGTAAACGAACGTTGGTAAAAAAGAGCGTTTTTTGACCATTCGCGACAGTTGTCTAAAAAATGGATAGACTCATTAGTGATCAGGCAGTTTCTTATCCCATGTTGCAGTTGAGTATAATGTGGCTAGCACTATGCTAGTTTGCATACTCAACCCAAGTATAAAAAAGATAAATTTAACCTTGTTTAAACTATAGTCCTGGTTTTGGGACTTTTGGACATTTGTGGTCCTGATAATGAGATTTGCTCTTAAAAACACACATGTACGCATTGGCTGCCTTGGCAAAAAGCTCGCGGATGGCATCAAACCTATGCTGCTGTTGAAATACTTGCTATGACGATCTTCTACTTACATCATTCAATCTGCAGCATTATCGTCCACCTTCGAAACGTCGTATCACGACTTCGGCAGCTAACCAAACTGTTTACTACCGTATAGCTTCAGTGCTATCAACCAACCCTGCTTTGCCACTCATCACAAGTCCTTCACCAACTCGAGCACAACACTAAGCTCCTCGCCCGTAAACTCGGGCGTCACGGAATTACCACTAGAGCGAGGCTGCGAGCGTACAGACGGTTGCGGCCGTCCACTGTGCGATGCAGACGTTAAATATTGGCGAACCATAATCTCCTGCCCAACATCCTACATAGACTTGAACGTCATTGTCATTGTCGTCGGTTTCGGCTGGTACGAACTTGCATGCACATTGGTTTTGCCACCATAACGATATAACGAGCATGATCCATGGGTAGAATCGTAGATGTTCACTGAGGTTAGGGTTGCTCGACGTTGGCATTTCGACTTGCCTGCTTGATACCGCAGAGTCATAGCATCGATGCGCTAACGTTGGCGCTGGGTGCAAAGATGAGCATAGCAAACTGCTGCTGTACACGCAGCAGTCCTTCGTCTCCGACGTCCTGGAACGGCAGGCGCAGTACCGCTTGAGACGACGCCAGGTCTTCCAAGAACGACTTGTGTGATAGCACCGAGGTCCTTCCCGTCTGCCGATTATTGCTGTCTTCGATTTGACGCGGCATACTCTTCTGCATTATCCGTTCCGTTGTTAAAGAATCAGTAGCGACCATACCTGCACACATCCAATCACGGATATTGTAACGGGGCACCCTGAAGCTTGTACTGGTGACAGTACAAGCTACTTATTCTGATAACAGAATAAGGCGGTGCCTCGTAACTTCACGTACACTCGTACGTGCAGAGGAAGACGGTAAGAAGAAGCGAGTACTTGGTTAGAGTAAAAAGTAGAACTGTATTTATAATAGTTAATGTCTGCAATAAATCACTATTTATCTTCATCTAACTATGTCTAAATACAAATGTGTAAATCAGTTATCTGCTCACCACTCATTGCGTGCGTCTGTCGTGGAGCGTCTTCGTTGGTTGATATAATGGCCTATATCAACCAATTAGGAACTACTTGGAAGTGCTACAGAATATTTGTCCTTATGACAATATTCTGAGAATATAACTCTTATAGTTATATTCTATTAACAATTTCTTATAAATTGTTATGTAACGATTCACCCCGTTACATCACCCCCCCCTTAACCATCAGTCACTTTAGTGACTGATTGACTAAATGGATACTCGTCCCAAATCATTTGGGACAGGGTTTGCACTTGTTGGTCCGCGTCCACTTTCCAACATTTCATCGCATGGTTAACAAGCCCATGCGATGCGCGAGCAAGGCCGCCGAGAGCGCGTCTGCACGTCTCTGTGCGGACGCCGAAGCAGAAACAACAGCAACTGATGTCCCATCGGTTGCTGAAGAGACCCAGCCTGTGTCACTTGGTGACGCAGGCGCTGGTCATGAAGACACTCGTGTCTTCACAGAGTACGAGCTCGGTGTCTCGTACTCTCCTGATACGGATGACGGATCCGTATCGACGGCGATTGAATCTAAGCCGCCTGCCAAGCGTGGCATGGACGATGCTTTGCGTCGCAGCATCTTTGGTTCATCTGATGAGTCAGATGAACCATCGCCGAAGCGAAGGCGCTCGAGATCGCGAGACTCGGGCGCTAATAGTGGTGTCGGTTCTCCAATGGACACCACTTCACAGCGAGGTGCCAGTCCTTCTGTCGGCACATCGCAGGAAGAGCGGGATCGCAATGTCTTGCGTCTCGCTCCCGAGAAGAAGGCATGGATGCCTCCAAAATCAGTCATGGATCACTTGTCGGCGACGACGAGTGATCGTTATCGAACACGATTGTTCGATTCGTCAAGGATCCATCACCTTGACCCCAGCGCGAAAGACTATCGCGCTGAACATGAGTTCTTCATCGATGCTTTCTTCAGACATCGATGGTACAGTGGGAATCACAAACGTGATGGTCCCTCACTACTTCAGGCGTGGAACGCCTACATCCATAACCTCGAGGATGTAGGTCGTGACGCTTGGAACGACAAACTTATCAAAGCTCGTAATAAGTTTGAAAAGCGAACCCCGACAGGTGCACGCTACAAGCTGCATCGTCTGTCAAGGGAGAAAGGATTACCCTGCCTCTCTTGGGGAGACTCGTGCCCATGTTGTGTGAACAACTCTGCACGAGCACCTAAGGAGGCTTACCTCCTTACCAGCCCGTGGTGGCGCGTACGTGTCTCTACTGAGATGTACGAAGGGATTGACAACCTGAAATCCCTTTACGACCGTGCCGGGAAGACTTTCTCCGGCGGTCCTTCTGCGGCACAGGATGTGTCGCGTCGTACTGCTCGACCAGACCCAGTACGTCAACCATCAATTGGGAGCGGGGCTCCCAAGAATCCCAGGACGGGGGATAGCCGCGCCACCGGACGAGGTAACTCGTCCGACGTCCGTTCACGTCGCGGTGGTTCAACAGCTGCTCAACTAGATAGCGCTGGCCACCGCGAGAGTCCTCTAATGGAGGTGGAGGAGGAGGAAAGACGCTCTCCACACGATCATGTGGATCGGTGTGTTCCCGAGAGCTTCTTTGATCGCGTAACGCAAGGGTTACGCGACGATCTCGAGCATGAGCGGAATAGGCGTCTCCAGATGGTGGACACTGCCTCGAAGCATCGAGCTGAGTTTGCCTTTGCTCAGCTTGAGAACGAGAGAGCTCTGACATCTCTTCGTGACGAGCTAAGGGTAGCTCGTGGGATTGTTGATCGGTCTCGGGCTGAGATAACTGCTCTTCAGACCCTTGTTGATGCCCACCATCGGGAGCACAAGGCTCTCTGCGAGATGCTTGAGCGCAAGGGCGTTCTTCATCGGAAGAAGCAGCGTACTGATGGTACGGCTTAAGCCGACCAACGTAAAACGTGGGATGCGTTCGCATCTTACGTGGTAACTCGATCGTGTATGCATTGCCTAGGCGGTGCAATACACGAAATGGGCCAATGTACTTGGGTAGTAGTTTACTGCTACCCAAGTTAGTCACTACATGCTTTGGTAGATTAACCGTAGACAGTAGGACTAAGTCACCTTTATTAAATAAAAGAGTGTTTGCCCTTCCATTCTTGTCAGCGTTTTGCTTTTGCTTATCCACCGCTTCGGCGATGGAGTCTTGCACAAAACGGACTACCGTTTCACGAGCCAGTATGAACTCATCTGATGACTCGTTAGCTTCAGTGTGCTGTGAGCGCACTGCAGCAACAACAACCTTTTCTTCAGTGAGGGCTTCCGCACTCTCCACTGGGATCATTGTCTTCAGTGAGGGCTTCCGCACTCTCACTGGCATCATATTCTTCGATATCGATGTTATCGATATCGGCATCAAACGCAATGACTTCTTCGTCAGAGCGTGATGAGCGTGAACCAAATCGGTTTTTGCTCGCGCGAGTCCCTCCCCCTTGAACCAGAGTTACACTCTAGTAAGGTGGGTACACGCGGATGGCGCAAGCCATTCACGTAAAACGGTGTATGTGTCGTGGACACATGCACCGAGTTATTGATGGCAAACTCTACCATTGGCAAAAACTCACTCCAACTCTTAAAGGAGTGTACTTATCCTCGAAGTATCTCTTCAAGGACACGATTGGCACGTTCCGTCTGACCATCCGACTCTGGATGATCAGATGTTGACATCTTCAAGCGCGTTCCGAGTGATTTGAACACGGAACGCCAGAAATCAGCAGTGAATCGTGGATCTCTGTCTGATACGAGTTCACGGGGCAACCCATGAAGTCGGAAGATGGTGTCAATAAAGACACAAGCACAGCCACTTGCCGTGATTGTCTCTGGTACAGCCACAAGGTGTACCATTTTGCTGAATCTGTCAACAAATACGAGAATACCCGTATTCCCGCGTGCGTCTTTGGGTAACCCGAAGACGAAATCCATTGAGATGGATTCCCAGCACTCAGCCGGAACCGGTAGAGGCTGTAAAGGTGCACGCAGTGAAGGACTTGACTTCACTCGTTGGCAGACTTCGCATGCGCGAACATACTTTCGCACAAACTGATACTGGCGGGGCCAGTAAAAGTCTCGACTTACCGTGAGATATGTTTTCTCTCGGCCACGATGTCCTCCTATAGGAGCATCGTGATACTCGAACATGATCCGCAAACGCAGATCAGTATCATCTGGAATGACAACACGTGGTGTGTCACCAGAAACGGCTGTATAGTACAGTAAACCGTTACGAGTAGTGTATCGATCTGATGCAGATCGATACGCAGACGACAATCGTTTCAACGATTCTCGAGATGGTTGGGAGAGATGTGACAACAACTTCACTATCTCACCATCTTGGGCGTATGCCCGCCTCACATCATCATACAACATTGTAGATGGGACTGAGGACGTCATAACCGCAACAGTGACTGTCTCACTGTTGGGTTTCGCGACTGTTTCAAAGTCGGGACGACGTGAGAGTGCATCAGCGACGACATTAAGTCGTCCTGGTTTGTACTCGACCGTAAAGTTGTATTCTGCAAAGAATGACAACCACCGCGCCATTCGTTGTGGAAAGGTGCGGGCTGTTCACTGCCGTGCGTAAGGACGCATGGTCAGTGTAAACAACGAAGGGTCTATCTCCTAATAGATAGACTCTGAACTTCGCGAGTGCATACTTCATGGCAAGGCGTTCCTTGTCATGCACTGGATAGTTCCGCTCAGCTGGTTGCAGCTGACGCGACTGATAGCAGACGACGCGTTCAACGCCTTCAAGGTCGTACTGCATTAATGCACAGCCGATTGCGAAATCGCTGGCATCACAGACCACATGAAATGGCCTGTCCTGATCGGCTATTGCTAGGACTGGGGATTGTATCAAGCTCTGCTTGATACCCTCAAAGGAGCGTTGACATTCAGCGTTCCATAACCACCTCTCGTTCTTTTTCAACAAACGAGAGAGGTGTACAGTCATCTCGGCGTAATTGCGTGAATACTTATGCAAATACGCCGCTAGCCCAAGGAATTTTCGAAGACCTTTGACATCGACCGGCACGGGCCAGTCGGTGATCGCCTTGATCTTTTCGGGATCAGGACGTACACCGTTCTTACCAACGATGCACCCAAGAAGTGGTATTTCGCTTGCTGCAAATATACACTTCTTGAGGTTTGCATACAATTGATGCTTTCGCATGATTGTAAGAACTTGTCGGACGTGGTACCTGTGAACCTCAACGTCCGACTTTCCATCCATAGCTCGACTATGGATGAATACGTCATCGAAATAACTCGGCGCGAACTCTCGTACTGGTCTCAACAGATGTGATACACATCTGTTGAACGTGGCAGGGGCATTACTGAGCCCTTGTGGCATTACTAGCCATTCCCAGAGCATGCCGCTAGGCGTGCTAACTGCGGTATAGGGTATATCCCGTTCCCGCATTAGGATTTGATAGAAGCCATCCATCAAATCCATGGACGAAAAGATGGTACTCTTTGACATACCATCAATGATTACGTCCTTCCTCGGTATCGGCGTCTGAGCCGGTACCGTTGCAGCGTTCAATTTGTTGAACGCGTGCACTATCCGCCACCCTCCTGTTGCTTTTCGCACACAGAAGGTCGGAGAGCTATGTGGGGAAGTTGATTCCCTCACATGGCCCGCTGCTAAACGATCGGCA